AAAGATGTCATAATGTGAACCATCTAGAAATAATTATACCATTTATTACACTAGCAATATATATGCCCTAAAATATTCTTTTTAGTGGCTAATATCATTTAGTAAATGCCAGTTTTAAGAAAAAAACTCCTACAAGTTAATGTTGAAAAGACCCCTATCAAAATCTATTTTAAGATACAAAGTACAAAGAGGTTGGATTTAACACTGATACTAAAACACTTACCTATTTTTAACTGACTCAAGAAACTGAGTGGTGAGCAGACAGACCATGTGCTCTTTATTAGTTTCAAAATCAGACAAAAAGATAGTAGAGAGGTTGGGAGAAGTGGCTCATGCCTATAATCCCAGCACTCTGGGAGGCTGAGGCGGGTAGATTGCCTGAGCTCACAAGTTTAAGACCAGCCTGAGCAAAAGCAAGAGCAAGACCTTGTCTCTATAAATAGGCAGGCATTGTAGCTGGCACCTGTAGTCGCAACTACTCAGGAGGCTAAGACAAGAGAATCACTTGAGCCCATGAGTTTGAGGTTGCTATGCGCTATGATACCACAGCATTCTACTCAAGTTGACAAATTGATGCTCTGTCTCAATTTAAAAAAGAGTGGAATTCTATGGCACTATAGCTTTTACAACACTGAAACTTTATTCAGGCTCGGCGCCTGTGGCTCAAGTGGCTAAGGCGCCAGCCACATACACCTAAGGTGGCGGGTTTGAATCCAGCTGGGGCCTGCCTAACAACAATGATGGCTGCAACTGAAAAAAAATAGCCAGGCGTTGTGGCGAGTGCCTGTGGTCCCAGCAACTTGGGAGGCGGAGGCAGGAGACTCACTTGTGCCCTGGAGTTGGAGGTTGCTGTGAGCTATGCCACGGCACTCTACCCAGGGGGACAGCTTGAGGCTCTATCTCAAAAAAAGAAACTTTATTCAAATCAGCTGAAAAGGACCAAACACAGAAGAGCCCTGAGTCAACTGATCAATCATTGCTGCAGTAAGACTAAAGCAATCTGCTGCCACAACCAAAGAAACTACATATTAAAATCTGTTGTTGAGGGATCTCACCTAATGTGCACAATCTGAGGATGTTCAGCACTCCCTATAGTTGTAGGCTCAACTACAACTTGAACCCTATCTTAGAACTAAAACAATGTAACCTAAAAATTTGTACCCTCATATTAATTTGAAATTAAAAAATCCATTTGTATGATAACATGTTAAGAAATTTAAAAATCAAGGTAAGATTTATATAATATTAAGTATTTATTAAATAATAAGAATTTCAAAATATGAAAAAAATCTGTTGATATCTGGAAATAGAACTGGTCCCTTTGGAATTATATAGGACATACATTGTCAAGACTTAAGAAATATGGAAAATAGGCCAGACTGCTGGCTCATGCCTATAATCCCAGCACTCTGGGAGGCCGAGGTGGGTGAATTGCCTGGGCTCACAGGTTTGAAACCAGCCTGAGCCAGAGTGAGACCTCATCTCTAAAAATAGCCGGGCGACGTGGCAGGTACCTGTAGTCCCAGATACTCAGGAGACTGAGGCAAGACAATCTCTTAAGCCTATAGTTGTTGTGAACTATGATGCTACAGCACTCAACAGAGGGCAACAAAGCAAGACTATCTCAAAAAGAAAAAAAAAGAAGAAACAAACATGGAAAATAAAACAAAGATCACTCAGTGGTGCAATCCACAAGGCAGTAGCATTGAAGAGTGTTCTACTACCACCAGGAGTAAATATACTCTCAACTTGGTAATCTAATGGGTCATTAGGAAAAAGTTAAGTAGCACATAATCAGAAAACTTAAATAATTCCATTTACCTAAATAAGAATCTCTTTCACAGAGTAACATGAGAGGAGAGAAAAAGAAGCTGAGGGTGACAAGCATGGGTTTAATGTAACTTGACTTTAAGATCACCATAAACTATATATAGGAAAAAGTATAACTCCCCAATGTCTAACATGATGTGCTCAAAAAATATCTTTTATTATGATTCATGATCTGTGGCTAGAATCCTAAAACATTGACAAGTATAATGAATTTAATAAGTATAATGAATTTAACAATCAGAAGTGACTGACAACTATGGACCTTGTGAAGATGTGGTCTACCCTAATAATAGCAACAGCTACAGAAAGAAATACTAACCACATAGACTGTGAGGGAAATATCAATAAGACATGGAAGATTATGAGCAATTAATGAAAACAGCTGTTTGCAGTTCTAGGGAGCTGAGTGAACAAGGAAACAAAGCAAGTATGAAATTCCACTAATCTTCTAAGAGCAGAGGACAGCTGGTTCTTAGTATCAGAAACGCAAACTTTAGATTAATAATTTATAAATATATTAAAATACTTTTTCCTGGTAATTAGCCAGATTGATCTTTTTTTTTTTTAAGAGACCCTTTGTCACCCTCAGCAGAGTGCTATAGCATCACAGCTCACAGCAACCTCCAGCTCTTGGGCTTAGGCAATTCTCTTGCCTCAGCCTCCCAAGTAGCTGGGCCCCCACCACAACGCTTGGCTATTTTTTTTGGTTGCAGTTTGGCCAGGGCAGAGTTTGAACCCACCACCCTCAGTATATGGGGCCGGCGCCCTACTCACTGAGCCACAGGCGCCGCCTGCCAGATTGCTCATTAATATATCAGGCAGAATCAGGCTAATCAGAAACAAACTATATACTATTGGGGCCACAGATGGATTGGAGTTTTAGAGGGAGCCAATAATAGCAATACCAGCAGGAATCAAAGTAAACCACCGCCTTTAAATAAAAGGAAGAAAGTATGAGAAAAGCAGACAGACAAATATGAGGTTAAAATACAACCCCCTTTCCACATATGCAGGGAAATCTTCCTCTGGATCAAATATTTATTTTTATTTCAAAAACTTTCCTAATAATCCCCATATTCGTACGATGGCAGAATTAAGGTACTCCCAAGAAATACTAAGTAGAATAACCTCAATTTGCACCCTGGAGATTAATTTAACAGAGATATTAATACAACTGAAGGTCTAAAATATAGATTTCCATAACATGAGGTTTAAAGAACTTTTAAAGACTCACCTGTAGGCTTAACTGAATAAAACCCAATGGCCTCTCCTTTCTTCCACAGAATCTTAGCATAATCAGTACTGCTATGACATAGGAATGGGATCTCATTTCTCTCCATTTCCTGTTTTCTATAAATAATTCGATTCAGAACATACAGAACCACTCTCTCCCCAAGAGTGCTCACCTACAAAGAGAGTCAAACACCAGGCACAATGGTTATAACAAGCAGTGATTAAAAGATGGTATTTCCCTTGCTCCCTGTCCCCACACCTCATAGCATTCAAAGCATATCAAATACATAACTCGTACACATTTTATTATCACAAAGATGAGACTAATCATTCATACCAATCACAAGCCATTTTCACAGATACATATTATGCTGGAATACTATTTCTCAGCAAAATTACCCAGTATAAATCAATCAAAACAAGTTGCCAATGTACCTACTGCCTCCAGTATCTCTGTCAGCACTCGGTTATCTTCTTTCTGCTTCCAGCTGCTCAGCTCCAGGGTCTCCCCAACCCTAACTGCATCCCACTAAGTATACTGCCAGTGTTATCCCAAAAGACTAAAGAAGAGGGCAGCACCTGTGGCTCAGCAGGTAGGACGACGCCCCCATATACCAAAGGTGACAGGTTTAAACCCAGCCTCAGCCAGCTAAAACAGCAGTGACAACTGAAACAAAAAATAGCCAGGCGTTGTGGTAGGCGCCTGAAGTCCCAGCTACACGGGAGGCTGAGGCATGAGAATCGCTTAAGCCCAGGAGTTGGGGGTTTCTGTGAGATGTGATGCCACAGCACTCTACCAAGAACGACAAAGTGAGACTCTGTCTCAAGAAAAAAAAAAAAAAAAGACTTAAGAAAATTATCTCATTTGATGAAGGAACCCATTAATTATACTCTTCAGATAGGAATCTATTTCATCTTCTCCAGGTAAAATGTTCATTTAGGCTGGGCACAGTGGCTCAGGCCTGTACTCCTAGCACTCTGGAAGGTCGAGGTAGGAGGATCCCTTAAGGCAGGGGTCCTCGAACTTTTTAAACGGGGCCAGTTCACTGTCCCTCAGACCGCTGGAGGACTGGACTGTGGGCCCAGGATGAGTTGGCTACTAAGCAGAACAGGTAGCAGCGGCAAAAACACCCAGGGGCCACATAAATGTCCTAGGCAGGCTGCATGTGGCCCACGGGCCATAGTTTGAGGACGCCTGCCTTAAGGTGTGAAGTTCAAGACCAGCCTGTGCAAGAGGAAGACCTTGCCTCCACTAAAAATAGAAAAATTAGCTAGGCATCATGTGGCAGGTCCCTATAGTCCCAGCTATTCAGGACACTGAGGCAGAAGGATTACTTGAACCCAAGAGTTTGAGGTTGCTGTGAGCTGGGGATACACTCTCTAGCCTGGTGCAACAAAGTGAGACTCTGTCTCAAAATATATATGTATATAAAAAAGATAAAATAAAATAAAATAAAATATTCATTTAATAACCTTATCTCTGCTGTCTTACTATGAGGAGTATCCTAGCTCCACACAACCTCCTCTCCCAGACAAGATGAAATAGGACAGAGAAGTCTAATAAAAACATACATGGCAGAATAAAAGAACAGAAACAGAGCTTCAACTCCTACACACAGGGCTACACAGTCACAAGGACAACCCTTCAACACCCCAACTTACTGACATCAAATAGTAGGTTTTCCTCCATAGACACTTTCCACTGCCAAAAACAAGTTCCATACACAAAATCTATGTACAGTCTTCTCTTCCCCCAAGTCACCTTAAAGGAAAATAAGTTTGCCCTCTAATTCACTGAGTGGAGAAGGAAAGGATTACTATGCATACACACACACTCTCAAAAATATCCCTGGCAAGGGATGTCCCATGCCAAACAACACACAAAGTGGCAAAGCTCACTAGCTCTAGATTCCAAGGCAACCCATTCTTTCCTTGTTCAGCTCTGACCAACACAATTCTTCCTCATATTAAACTGAAATCTACTTCTAAAAGACTATACTTAATATTCTGCAGCCACATAGCCTACAAATAATTTGAAAATACCCATGATATTCCCCTAAATCTCACATCAAAGCTAAACATAGGAACTACTCAGGGAAAAGGCTAATCTAATGCAGGTTTGGGCACTCTTGCTCATCCAATCCTCTCCTCGAAATCGCTCCAGATCTCTAACATTTCTCTAGCATGTGGATGTTACAAACACTGACAGTAGTGATGAGACAATGTGGTTTTCTATACAAACTTAAGGTTTTTATTAGTTTTTTTGCTTGTCTTGATTTTACTTCTAATAAAGCCCAACTATTTCACATGTGCTGCTACTACAGTTTAGTTTTCATGATGCACAAGTTAATATTTTTTGAACTTATAGGTATTACTTTACATTTCTCTACTTTTCATGTTAGATTCTTCTGTTTCTTCTTTTTTTCTTCCTCATTTTTTTTGAGACAGAGTCTCAAGCTGTCACCCTGGATAGAGCGCCATGGCATCTTAGGTCACAGCAACCTCCAACTCTTGGGCTCAAAAGATCCTGTTGCCTCAATTTTTCTATTTTTAGTGGAGTCAGGGTCTCACTTTTTTGCTTGGGCTGGTCTCAAACCCGTGAGCTCAAGCAACCCACCTGCCTCAGCCTCCCAGAGTGCTAGGATTACAGGCATGAGCCACCGCCCCCAGCCTTTCTTTGTTTCTTAATTCTGCCTTTCACAGATTAGTTCCCCCATTTAGCACCAAGACATGCAGAATTGATAAAGCATGCTGTCTACATCTTCTTTAAGTAAATGATAAAATGGTGAGAGTAGGACAGAAAAAAGGACAAAGTTTTGCAGCAAACTTTTGAGGACCTCTCTTCCATATATTGGAGCTCTAGGTTTCAGAGTTACAGTCTTTATCACATTTAATTTTCATCCCAGCTGTATGAGACAGAAGGAATTAAGGTTTAAAAAAAGTGACTTGCGGCTCGGCGCCTATAGCTCAACCGGCTAAGGCGCCAGCCACGTACACCTAAGGTGGCGGGTTCGAATCCCCAGCCCGGACCCGCCAAACAACAATGACGGCAGCAACCAAAAAATAGCTGGGCGTTGTGGCGGGCGCCTGTGGTCCCAGCTACTTGGGAGGCGGAGGCAGGAGACTCGCTTGAGCCCAGGAGTTGGAGGTTGCTGTGAGCTGTAATGCCACGGCACTCTACCCAGGGGGACAGCTTGAGGCTCTGTCTCAAAAAAAAAAAAAAAAAAAAAGTGACTTGCTTAAAGTCATGTGTTTGTTAAGTAGAACTGTTATTCCCACCTGTAACTTTACCAACCAATTTTTCCTTATTGCTCAGGAGTTGACTAGAACAGCAGCCCCCCTTTTCTGATTTTTTTTGGGGGGGGGGAGGTGAGACAGTCTCAAAGCTGTCACCCTGGGTAGAGCACCGTGGGACTACAGGCGCTCACCACAACGCCTGGCTATTTTCTGATTGCAGCTGTCATTGTTGCTTAGGAGACCTGGGCCAGGTTCGAACCCACCACCCTAGGTGTATGTGGCCAGTGCCAATGCCGACTGAACTACAGGCACCACCCCTTTTCTGATTTCTATACTCTGAAGGTCACAAAGATAATTAAAGCTGAAGGAGTCCAAAAAGTTAAAGTGTTATTTCTGGTTTCTACTTCTCCTGCCTTCACTACCTGGAGGCTTCACAGTTTGTTTCTCCACTTGAGTAGGATAAATATACTACACCATACGATTATACTAAGACTTCTCCTTCTCCATTCTCCAACCTTCACATCTACATGTCCCCCCTCATACTGTGCCAAACCTCAGTCATTTTTAAACACATTATGATGTTTATTTTCTTAGGATTATTCCTGAGAATAAGCTATACTCCTTTATTGCAATCTAATACTCCAACTTACAGCCTTTTCCAGGTTTCTAATTCCCTTCTCCCCTTCATTTTTTCTTTAAAGTTCCTTATCATACTGGCAGATAGCCAAGTGCACAAATCCTCTTTGTGAGATGAGACTATTACTCTGAAATCTTAAGGCACATTCAAAAATTAATGCAATATCCAGAATTTAAAATGCTAAGTGTATTATTCTCATATTCTCCTGTCTCTTTCAAAGTTCCAAAGTCAAAGAGAAGATACAAACACACCCCAGTAACCTGCAAGTTTCTCATTTTCCTACCCTGGATTTCACTTTGCTATCTTTGTTTCTTCTGACTGGTTCAACTGCTCACAAAAAAGCATCTTGCAAATTTGACAAGCTTTTACAGATTTGGACCATCCCAGAAACACTGTGAGGAAGAATATTAGGATACATACATATTTCTGTTACTCCAGTTCCCTCAGGTAGGGTCTCTTCCTCTAAGGATTAATTATCAAGGATCCCTATGCCTGTCGATCAACAGGAGTGCTTCTCCAAAAAGTTGCTATTCTCCTTAAGAAAAGTCTAATGTAGGGCGGTGCCTGTGACTCAAAAAGGTAGGATGCCAGCACCATATGCTGTAGGTGGTGGGTTCAAACCCAGCCCCGGCCGAAAACCACAAAAAAAAAAAAAAAA